GATCAGAAATGGAAAACTAGATAGGGGAGCTTTTGGGGGTTAGATTGTAAAAGTTTGGTTTTTGCTTGTTTTTATTATTTATTTTAAAGGCAAGGTGAGGGAAAGAGAGAGATCTTCCATTCATTGATTCACTCCCCAACTGGCCTGAATGACTTTGACTAGACCAGGCTGAAGCCCAGAGCCTGAGACTTCCATGCAGGTCTTGCATTTGGGTGGCAGGGTCCCAAGCACTTGGGTCATCTGCTACTCCCCAAGGAGTATCACCAGGCAGGGGGACTGGTGGCAGAGCAGCCCAAATTCAAATCAGCACCATGGGATGCCAGTGTCGCAAGTGGTGACTTAACCTGCTGCACCTCAATGCTCGTCCCTAGTTTTGATTTTCATTTGAGATGCTATTTGGACATCTAGGTGGAAATGCTTCACAGGAAGTTAATAGCAGCCAGTACTGGCAAGCAGGAATCAGTGCTAGGCAGAATAGTGGCCTCCAAAGACATTTTTACCCTGATACCCAGGCTCATGAATATGTTAGTTTATATAGGGTTATAGTTTATATTAGAGTGACAGATGGAGTCAAGGTTGCTAATCATCTGATAATAAAATGAGGAGATGTTCCTGGATTATCTGGGTTGACCTGATGTAATGTGTGGGACAGGCTTCATTGACAAAGTGATGCAATGTGATAACTACTCCATTGAACACTTTAACAAGTACTTTAATGAATGAGCAAAATGACATGACCACTTACATAGGGCTTGAGGTTACCTAGAGAGCTTGGGCATGTGGTCAGAAGAATTTATATAGCTAAAAAGAAGGAAACAATTAGAGATATGAAAAGAAATAATTAAAAAGAGAAAATCATGGGTTTGCTCTTACTGAAATAGAAGTTGAGTTTTTAATACCAGAAAACAATACTATAATTTTAGAATGAGCTACTGATTTATTATGAAGGACTGGGAGAATTTTAGGAGATAATGTAATTACAAGTTTTCAAGAAGAAAATGTGATGCAAATAGAATTTTTACAAGCTATGCTAATTTGCAAAAAATAATCTGTAGGGAGAATTACATTAAACAGATTAGCAAAATTATATACTGTTTAAAAGTTGTTTGTTTTTGTTAAACATATGAACACATTTTAATACATTAATTGAAAACTCAATGAAAATAAGTTATGTGTAATATGAAAACCATAGTCTTTTAAAAAAAAGTTTATTTATTTGTTCTTACTTTTTTCAAAGGTAGAGGGGGTGCAGATCTTCTGTTCACTGGTTCACATCCCAAATGCCTGCAACAGCCAGGGCTGGACCAAAGCCAGGAGCCAGGAGCTCCACTGGGGTTTCCCACATGGATGGCTGAGTTTTAAGTGTTTGAACTACCATCTGCTGCCTTCTAGTATGTGCATTAGTTAGATCTGGACCAGAAGGAGAAGTGGGACTTGATCCCAGGCACTCTGATAAGGAATGTGGGCATTCTCAGCAGTGGTTAACTGGACTGCCTCATCTTCTACCACAATACAGAGTCCTAATGAAAGGACCTGAAATATAAGCACATACTAACACACACATCACATCACATCATATCCAAACACATTGTAGTAATATGGGCATTACATTTCTGGAAAGCTATCCAGGAAACCATTACAATAAAAATGGTTTGTTAAGTTACTTCTGTAAGGTATGGTGTGTTTTTTTCCTTATTAGTGTAAATAATCTCTATTTCTAAAAAAGTAAACTAAAGGAAAATACACACTTTTAGCCCATTTTTAAATGACTATTTTTTCTCTTTTTAACAATGCATAAATATCCAACTTATTTCAAAATAAATATTTTCAAGTTCCTTATTTCTGTGAATTTTGGCTTCAAACTGGTTTTAGTCTAAATCCTGAATGTGTATTATATTTCATTCATTTCATATATATTTCACTAATGATTTTGATGTACTGTATTCCAGATGCTAAAATGTGTATTAACTACATTGCATATACATATATATGAAAAGTATTTTATTTTCTTTAAGTATAGTTTCAAAACTTGAATTTTGAAAAGAAGCATCAGTATGGATATTAGTCATAAAACTAAAAGGAGCTATACCTATCTAGACATGATAATGCATAACTATAGTTGATACAATTAAATATTTTACATTAATCCAAGTTTTTCAGCATGAGAATCTGGCAAAAGGATTTGTTTATTTTGATTTAAGAAGAAAATACATCCCCAATTGGTTAAGAATTCCCATGGGATTATCTCAAAGAAACAGAGTATATAGCATATGGTCTCTCGTCTTTCAGTTTCTGTTGACTGGGAGAATGAATTGCAGTAAACTGACAGGGACACAGGAATAAAGATGTAAGGCTTTCCCTGCGATCCACAAAAGGCATCTTTACATGAACTGCTCCCTTCTCTGGTAAGTAGTTACGGGACAAAGGCTGACTAAAATTCATATACTGAAGGAGTTTCGTGAAAAAATTGGATAATTTGAAATTATTAGAAATGAAAGCAATTTTAAAAAAAGTTGAACCAGTAACCACATTTTTCAATAAGCACAGACTAAAAACAAATTATGCTGTACATTTTGATGATTATACTAAACAAACTATTTCACCAATGTAAACTGATTACCTCAATCTCTCTGTCATTTTGGAGAGTATGACAAAATTATCATGCAGAATTATCATCTATTCCACAATTAAAAATTAGTGAATAAAAGGATTCAAACTGAAAATGAAAATCTAATTATATTTGGCTGTGGTCTTTCAACTATACTTTGTACTCCTTGTCTAAAATTCCAGAGGAAAAATTTAATGCAAATAAAGTAAAATGTTGTTGAGTAAATTAAGATTCATATGTAGATATATGGTATATATGCACACATATGTTTATCTCTTAAAAAGTATGTAGTGATCACCACTAATATCAGGCTGAGCTGGGAGAGACGGATGAAAAATGCAGAAATGAAAAGAGAAGAAGAGCTAAGTTATTCAGGATTTAATTCATGTTTCTTTGCCAATGTCTGATTCAATATGTACATCTTAAGAGTCCTGACTGTGTTTTCTATACTTCATTTCCAGGTTAAGAAACCATTAAGAATCATATTATTCTATGACCATCAAATGTTTACAGCACAAAGAGGCAGTAAAAAACATGTTAGTTCAAAACTCAGATTTTACTGAAGAAGAGATTCAGGCCATAAAAGAACAGTTACTTGTCCCAGGATGCTCACTGCTTAGCTCAGTTAGTTATTGTCTGGAGGTCTTCTAATTCCAAGTCCATAACCCATACATTTGTGATTTTATACATTTTTTTTGTCTTTCAGAAACATATATTCTGAATTCTACTAATCATTTAGTATACTTTGGAACATTAAAGAAATTATTGACCTACAAAATTCTGCAAAAATAAGTAGTGCTTGTAAGTTCAAATAGCCTGAGTAGCGAAGGACAACATGTGATCCTCTCCAGTAATCACAACTTGTTTGCTACTTATTCTCCCTCATTTTGATAATTATGGAATAAAGCTGGCAACATGGAAAGGGCAAACCATTCAGTGGTATCTGAATTTATTTTGCTTGGACTTTCCAAATCTCAAAATCTTCAGATTTTATTCTTCCTGGGATTCTCTATGGTCTATGTGGGTATTGTGTTAGGAAATCTTCTCATCTTGGTCACTGTGGCCTTTGACTCACGCCTTCACACACCAATGTACTTTCTACTTATTAATCTCTCCTTTATTGATATGATCCTGGCTTCTTTTGCCACCCCTAAAATGATTGTGGATTTCCTCCGAAAACAGAAGACCATCTCCTGGTGGGGGTGTTATTCTCAAATGTTCTTCATGCACCTTCTGGGTGGCAGTGAGATGATGCTGCTGGTAGCCATGGCAATAGACAGGTATGTTGCCATATGCAGACCCCTCCATTACATGACCATCATGAACCCACGGGTGCTCGTTGGGCTGCTGTTATCCTCCTATGCAGTTGGGTTTGTCCACTCGTCTAGTCAGATGGCCTTCATGTTGAATTTGCCCTTTTGTGGTCCCAATGTGGTAGACAGCTTTTTCTGTGACCTCCCCCTGGTGATCAAACTTGCTTGCAAGGACACCTATGTGCTACAACTCCTGGTCGTTGCTGACAGTGGCCTTTTGTCCCTGGTCTGCTTCCTCTTGTTGCTCATCTCCTACACAGTCATCATATTCTCGGTCAGGAATCGGGCTGCTAGTGGATCCTCAAAGGCCTTCTCTACTCTCTCAGCTCACATCACAGTTGTGACCCTGTTCTTTGCTCCATGTGTTTTTATTTATGTATGGCCTTTCAGCAGATACTCTGTGGATAAAATACTCTCTGTGTTTTACACGATCTTCACACCTCTCTTAAATCCTATTATTTATACATTAAGAAATCAAGAGGTAAAAGCAGCCATTAAGAAAATAAGGTCTCGACACATAAACTCAAAACACATTTTTTAGATGACATTTCTAAAGAGAGACAGTCTCTTGTTTGGACATCATTAAGGGATTCACTTTAAGGTTTTCTAAGTTCTGTTTAAGGCAACAGTGGGTGTTAGGGTTAAAAGGCTGGTATCTTTTCTGTGACTTTTAATGGTCAGAAAACATGGTGTTTACAGTCAGACAGGTATGCAACTAAATTCCACCTTCAGGAAAATTTGAAGACAGTAAATTAAAGACCTGTGGTTCAGTTTATTCATATATATATATATATATATATATATATGCTTCTTATGTTATTATTTAAATTTGCCTCTAATTCTTAAACATGAATAGTGTTATTTTAGCTGTCATTGGCAACTTGCATTTAGAACATGCACAGAGATGACAGCTCACCAGTTATTTGTCCGACAGATTGGTTACTGAGCACCTTGCAATAGAAAATATCATTTTCCATGTAATCACTGAATAATGCATATTAAATTTTACCAACTAATTTGCCATAGGCACAGTGTTTATAGCCATTCTTTACATCTTTTGTGAGCTTTAAAAATGCCATAATATATAACCAAGGAGTGAGAAAAATTATGGATGGAGAGAATTAATCCAACTGATATTGTGTTGTGGCATTAAAAGGACTATCTTACAGGCTGCAGGATATGCTATGAGAGAGCAAGAGAGAGATATCTAGTACAGGCTGAGGGCTGGGCAGTTTTCCAGGGAGAAGAAGTGTTTATAGTGAACATTGCCTAGATGAAGAAGATACTCAGATAAAACAAGTAGTATGTGAGAAGGCATGGAAGCATTATAGAAACTATACATAATTTCATTTGGCTGGGGCACAGATTTCAATTCAAGACATGAGGTCGAGGTAGGTAAAATGTGGCAGCAGACCGTATTGCACTATCATATCTTGTAACCTGGTTTCAGTTTTAAACTTACTTATATATTCTTTTGTGTCCTCCAACAATATTTTTAATTACATACTAAAACTCACAAAACATATTTATTATTTTATTTTAGTTTTTATGGTACCATTTTATTGTATTTTCTTGTTATTTCTGAAATGTAGAAAATATGTAATTTATGTATATATTTATTTATAATTAGCCCATACACCAAATTCCAAAAAATTAGTTTTAATTGGTTATGTAGGACTTTGCATATAATGTCTCATCTATGTTGAGGTTATGTTTTCTCTTATTTTTAAACATCTTATTTCATTTTTAGCTTAGGGCATATTTAGGATTTATTTTTTTCTGAAAATTGACAGATGTCATAAATATTCTGAAACAGTCCAAGAAAAATTTAAAATTTTATGTTTCTACAAAATGGCAAATGGCATTTTTTCACAAAAATGAAATTTCATATTTGTAATGGTAAAATCTTCAATTGGTGATTTATTTGACATGGAAACTTATCTAATTTTGGTGGATCTATTGTTAACATTTTTAATATGCTAAACTAACTATAAGTTGATATAAGAAATTAAAAAATGCAAATCTGCGGGTTGAAGTTGTGGGCCAGTGGGTTGGACCACCACTAGGGACAACAGCTTTCCACATGAGATGGCTTAAGACTGAATCCTGGCTCTACCTCTGATCCAGCTTCCTGCTAACATGCATCCTAGAGAGAGAAGATACTGGCCCAAGTACTTGGGCCCCTCAACTCATATGGGAGACCTGAATGGAGTTCTTGTCTTCTGGATTCAAACTGTCCCATCCTTTGGTGTTGCAAGATTTGGGGAAGCAAACTAGCAGATGAAAGATACTTGTGTGTGTGTGTGTGTGTGTGTGTGTGTGTCTTCTCCTTTCCACCCTTATCTCTTTCCTCCTTTCAAATAAATAAAAATAAACAAAAATAACTGATACAAGTTTACAAGGAGGTTGCATGCCTCCTAGTGATAATAATTTTCCTGTATTTCCTTTCCTCATTTTAAACAAGACAGAAAGTGCAGGGATGATGACTGCTCAGATGAGCTGAAATCTTCCCAATCCTTCATCAGGCAAGATATATATTACCTAATCCTCAATTCTGTAGCATTATCTAATCCTAAATTCCATAACTTTCAAAGAGATAATCCTGTTGATAATTCTCTCACTGCTATTTTTAGTATTTTTACAGATAAATTTTCACATTCTTTTGAGAGATTTCTTCTGAAGGTATCCATAACTGAGTCCAGAGTTCCAGTGTGTCCAACAGTCTTCTATGGCATCATTAGGAATTAAAGTCTTCCATAAAGGCAAAGTAAATTGGTAAAAAGAAATAACTTGGATGTAAAAATAATTTTTAATGTTTTAAATCCATAACCAATTATAGATTCCAAAATCCAGGTCTAACTTACATAAAAAATGATCCTTCCAAATGTCAGGAAAAACCAAAAATATATGAAATCAAAAATTGTTAACTCCCAAGGATGACTTTATGCTCTGAGTTGTTTTTCCAAAGCATTTTATATTGATCAAAATTGGTTAAATATGTTGATATCTCTAGGAAAAATAAGAATTGCTTGATAATACTAAAGGAAGAGAGATCAAAATAAATATTTCAAACTTCAGTACTTGAAAAATAGCCTGATGAGAATTAATAATAGACTAACTAAGTCTTTGAGAATTGAAGTTTTATGATTTAGGTGCCATTTTAATGCCATTTTACATATGTGGAAACTGAGGAAGAGAGATTAATAACCTACCCTAAATCCATAGGTGTCATGTCAAAGGACTGAGATTCAAACAAATGGTTTTCAGAATCACAAATTGCTTTGTAACACTATGCCACCCCTAAAAGTGTTTCACAAATTCTGGGAATGACCTCTGTATATAACATCCTTTCCAAAAATCCAGAAACAGTTTAAATGTAACAGAGCACTAGAAAGAAGAATCTTTGGGTTGGCTCCAAGATGCTGGAATAGGGAGGGAGCTCACTGATAGTCCAGGAAAAGATAGTTTACTAAAAGTGGAGATAGTATAGTCTCAGGGAAGAGTTAGGGAAAAAACTGCAGAGGAAACTCTTCTGGAATTAGAGGGACATGGTGGATCTATGTGGAAGACATAGGGCACCCATGGCTCAGGAGCCCAGCTGTCAAGAGTCACTGCCGCACCATTGAGGCAGAAGAGAGAAAATTGGACTTGGAAGACAGAGCACAGGAAAGTATAAAATCAAACCAAAGAGAAGAAGAAGAAATTAGAAATCTGAAAAATATTGTTGGGAATCTACAGGATACTATTAAAAAAAATGAACATTTGGGTTCTAGGAGTTCAAGAAGGCATGGAGAGGGAGAAAGGTTAGAAGGCCTTTTAAATAAGATACTAGCAGAAAACCTCCCAGGTTTGGAAAAAGAAAGAGAGATCCAAGAACAGGAAGCACATAGAACTCCCAATAAACATGACCAAAAGAGATCCTCACCATGACACATTGTAATCAAATTCAATACAGTAAAACATAAAGAAAAGATTCTAAAATGTGCAAGAGAGAAACATCAGGTTACTCTCAGAGGATCTCCAATCAGACTCACAGAAGACTTATCAGATACACTACAGGCTAGGAAGGAATGGCAAGATATAGCCAAAGTACTAAGAGAAAAAAAACTGCCATCCCAGAATATTAGATCCTGCAAGCTCTCATTTTTGAATGAAGGGAAATAGAGACCTTTCATAACAAACAGAAATGGAAAGAATTTGTCGCCACTCATCCAGCGCTGCAAAAGATGCTTAAAGATGTGTTACACACAGAAACACAGAAGCACGGCCATCAATATGAAAGAAGGTAAAGGAAGAAAATCTCTCAGTAAAAGATCACAGGAAGTTCAAAGCATATATTAGAAATACCTTTGGAAAAATGGCAGGGCAAACTCACTACTTATCAATAGTCATATTGAATGTAAATGGCCTCAACTATCCAGTTAAGAGGCACAGATTGGCTGAATAGATCAAGGAGCAAAACCCATCTATTTGCTATTTACAAGAAACACATCTTTCCAACAAAGATGCACACGGACTGAAAGTGAAAGGCTGGAAAAAGATATACCATGCAAACAGAAACAAAAAAAAAAGCTGGCGTAGCCATCTTAGTATCAGACAAAATAAACTTTAACAAAAAAACTGTTAAGAGAGACAAAGAGGGGCACTATATAATGATTAAGGGTTCAATTCAACAGGAAGACGTAACTATTATAAATGTATATGCACCTAATTACAGGGCACCGGTTTATTTAAGATATGTGTTAAGGGACTTAAAGGGAGACAAAGACTCCAATACAATAGCACTGGGAGACTTCAATACTCCACTTTCAGAAATAGACAGATTGACTGGACAGAAGATCAACAAGGAAATAGCAGATCTAATTGACACTGTAGCCCAAGTGGATCTAACAGATACCTATAGAACTTTTCATCCTGCACTTAAAGGATTCACATTTTTCCCAGCAGTACATGGAACCTACTCCAGGATTGACCAAAAACGAGGCCATAAAGCAAGTCTCAGCAAATTCAAAAGAATTGAAATCATACCGTGCATCTTCTCAGACCACAGCGGAATGAAGCTGGAAATTAGCAACTCAGGAATCCCTAGAGCATATGCAAACACATGGAGACTGAACAGCATGCTACTGAATGAACAATGTGTCATAGAAGAAATTAAAAGAGAAATCAAAAATTTTCTGGAAGTAAATGAGGATAACAGCACAATGTATCAAAACATATGGGATACAGCAAAAGCAGTGTTAAGAGGAACGTTTATAGCAAAAGACACCTACATCAAGAAATTAGAAAGGCACCAAACAAATGAGCTATCAATGCATCTCAAGGATCTAGAAAAACTTCAGCAAACCAGACCCAAAACTAGTAGAAGAAGAGAAATAATTAAAATCAGAGAAGAAATCAACAGGATTGAATAAAAAAAAAACAGTACAAAAGAACAGCAATATGGAGAGCTGATTTTTTGACAAAATAAATAAAATTGACACACCATTAGTCCAACTAACTAAAAAAGGGAGAGAAAAATACAAATCAATAAAATTAAAGATGAACATGGGATGTAACAACAGACACAAAATAAATAAAAAGAGTCATCAGAAATTACTACAAGGACTTGTATGCCAGCAAAAAGGGAAATCTATCACAAATGGATAGATTCCTGGACACATGCAACCTACATGAATTGAACCAGGAAGACATAGAAAACCTAAACAGACCCATAACTGAGACAGAAATTGAAACAGTAATAAAGGCCCTCCCAACAAAGAAAAGCCCAGGACCAGACGGATTCACTGCTGAATTCTACCAAATATTTAAAGAAGAACTAATTCTA